TGGTGAATATCTTTTCCCAGTCTGTGGACTGTCGTTTGGTCTTGCTGACTGTGTCCTTTGCCTTACAGAAGCTTCTCAGTTTCAGGAGGTCCCATTTATTAATTGTTGATCTCAGTGTCTGTGCTACTGGTGTAATGTTCAGGAAGCGGTCTCCTGTACCGATTAATTCAAGGGTATTTCCCACTTTATCTTCTAATAGGTTCAGTGTGGCTGGGTTTATGTTGAGGTCTTTGATCCATTTTGACTTAAGTTTTGTGCAGGGTGAAAGGCTTGGGTCTATCTGTAGTCTTCTACATGTTTGCATCCAGTTATGCCAGCACCATTTGTTGAAGATGTTCTCTTTGTTCCAGCGTATGTATTTGGTTTGTTTGTCAGAAATCAGGTGTTCGTAGGTGTGTGGGTTAATATCAGGGTTTTCAACTCTATTCAATTGGTCTATCTGTCTATTTTTGTGCCAATACCAAGCTGTTTTCAGGACTATAGCTCTGTAATAGAGCATGAAGTCAGGGATGATGATGCCTCCAGAAGTTCTTCTGTTGTATAGGGTTGTTTTGGCTATCCTGGGTCTTTTGTTTCTCCATATAAAGTTAAGAATTGTTCTTTCAAGGTCAGTGAAGAATTGTGTTGGGATTTTGATGGGGATTGCATTGAATCTGTAGATTGCTTTTGGCAAGATTGCCATTTTTACTATGTTGATCTTGCCTATCTAAGAGCATGGGAGATCTTTCCATTTTCTGGTATCTTCTTTAATTTCTTTCTTTAGAGACTCAAAATTCTTAGGGTATAGGTCTTCCACTTTTTTGGGTAGTGTTACTCCAAGGTATTTTATGTTGTTCGTGGCAATTGTAAAGGGTGATGCTTCTCTGATTTCTTTCTCCACAAATGTGTCATCAGTGTATAATAGGGCTACAGATTTTTTTGAGTTAATCTTGTATCCTGACACTTTGCTGAAGGTGTTTATCAGCTGTAGGAGTTCCCTGGTAGAGTTTTTTGGGTCACTTATGTAGACATATCATCATCAAATAGTGAGTGTTTGACTTCTTCCTTTCCGATTTGTATTCCCTTTTGTTGTCTTATTGCTCTAGCTAGAATTTCAAGGATAATATTGAAGAGGTATGGAGAGAGTGGACAGCCTTGTCTTGTTCCTGATTTTAGAGGAATTGCATTGAGTTTCCATTTAATTTGATGTTGGCTCTTGGCTTGCTGTATATTGCTTTTATTATGTTGAGG